CTATACAATGGGTAGCAGGGGATTTTTTCACTCGGGTAATGCGGCCGGGGCGTGAAGCTGACCACTCGCCTCCATCTAGTGTAGAGGTCAAGAATGTGGAACTATAACTCCACTCCTTTATAGGTCTTCATGTTGCCGTGTCTAATTAATTAAACAAATGAATTTAATTATTTTATTGAGATTACACATATTAAGACAATTCTGCGGCGATACAGAAATGAAACATTACTCGCAACTTGTGACTTGTAAGAAGGCATGGGAAGGTGAATGTTACGATGGAGCTGGTACTGATGCCTCAAGACAGATATCCTGAAAATTCATACTGTCTTTGTTACAGCTGAAACCGATAATATTTTGTATATGTGTTGAAATTGCTAGGTCACATACATGTAACTAATACAGGGGCGTTCTCCGATATTTGTTTAATTATTTCTAAAATTTTATGATCTGAGGAAAAAGAAAATATTGGTCACAAAATGGTGACTTCGTTCAACTCGTGTGAACATTTAACAAATTACTGTCGAGAAGCGCGCAAAAACGCACTCACGTCTTCATATCAAGTGTCCGTTTTTGTCGTCCGACTTTAACAAAAATCGCAGTATTTAACAAAATTTAGTGGACCTCGTCAGTATCAGATTTCATGAAAATCCCTTCACTGGTTCTCAAATTGGAACATCCACACTTACGAACGGACAGATTTGGCGAATCTAATAGTATCAATTTTTGTAAAACTTAATTGCGAACGCTCTACAAAATCAAAGGGATACCCTAAGTGTGGGAACCTCGAAGTCTCACAACCCTATGGGCCTTCACGGCCTGTTACAGGGATAGCTTTTATTTACTTACTCTCCTGATCACAGATGTCTCTTTCTTTAACACGATAGAGTGCACGCTGATTATATTTTCGTGTTCTTCCTCCCTCATTCTAGAAGTGTCAGACATACATAGAATACAGGCCTCTGCGTTTGGAACAATTTTATTCTAAAGAGATCTGATGTTGATATGCGACTCCGTGGCTTACTGCGTATTCTAATGAACAAAACGTTTCGGAAGCTGGATCTGTTTCCGTCCTCAGGTGAAGGGGCGGGAGACACTATTCTGTTGGGCCCGTTAGATAGAACTAACTCGGTGGTTCTCAAACTCTTTCCATAAACTCATCCTCTGTGCCCCNTGGATTGGTCATGTTTTACGCAGAAACTGCCTTCTAAAAGAAGCTATCGAAGGAAAGATAGATGGGCGGATAGAAGTGACAAGAAGACGAGGAAGAAGACGTAAGAAGATGCTGGATGACCTTGGGGACAGAAGAGGATACTGTCATTTGAAGGAGAAAGCTCTAGATCGCATTAAGTGGAGGAATTGTTTTGAAAGAGACTGTGGACCTGTCGTATTGACAGATTACTGATGATGATGATGATGATAGCGGAAAGAATACATGAAACTACGGGTGTCTCTGTGTCATCCGCAGCTGATCCCCAACTNGCCCGTTAGATAGAACTAACTCGGTGGTTCTCAAACTCTTTCCATAAACTCATCCTCTGTGCCCCTTGCACAACCCACTAAAGAAGATAACAACAATACAATTTTGTAATTATTTCCCTGTTAGCAAATTCTTAATGCGATGAGTGCGCTTGATGAAGTGAGACCAGTTTCGAAGTGTCTGGTCTAAAGTCACCCCAATCGCAAATAAGTGAAGGTCACGCTCGGAGAGGCCCATCTCCAACGCCCCTTGACCCTTAGCGCCCCCTTACATAATCACACCTCACCTAGGGTCGGTAAAACCCACTTGGGGAACCACTTAGTCAACCTTAATCACTAGACATACCACCCCTTAACCTGAGGGCGGAGACAGATACAGTTTCCGAAATGTTGTCTTCTCTAGTTTTCAGAATACCGTACGAGGGACAAAGTCCAAAAACCCTGTAGTCCCGAGAACTTGGGGCAATATTGAGACTGGACACTTATCCAACTCAAGTTCCGAATTCCAAATTATAATTTCTCTTTTATTATATTTATATAGCGGAAAGAATACATGAAGCTACGAGTGTCTCTGTGTCATCCGCAGCTGATCCCCAACCTTGAGATGTTTGTCGGCTGCTCATATCTGCAGCCGTTATGTAAGACAAGCAAGGATGTCCCCGTGCTTAACGAAAGCGTATGAGGGTGTTGAGATATAGCTCCAGTATAGTTCACTCAACACTAGACGGAAGAGAGTGCTCATCTTCAAACCCCGACATTCTTACCCCCGGTGAAAGAGTCCCCGGTACCCACAGCATAGGACGCTGGGTGGGCCCCAGAGCCGGTATGGACGCTGTGGAGAAGAAACAAATTCCTTTCCCTTTACCTGGAATCGAATCCTTATTCCCGAGTCATCCTGGCCCCCTCGTAATAAAGTAAGAACACAGAATGAGGAACTTTGGAACAGGGGGATGATGGAGTATGAGGTGGCAGAGGAATGGAGAAAACTGCACAATGAGGAGCTTCATAACTTTACACTTCAGCAAATGTTATTAGGGTGATCAAATGAAGGAGAGTGAAATTGATGATACACGTAGAGCAAACTGGTGATATCATAAATACATGCATAATTTTAAGTGGTAAACCTGAAGGGAAGATAAGATAAAGGCATAGGCAAAGATGCGAGGATAATATTAAAGTGGACCTTATTAAATGATATGGTGAGATTACTCTTGTTCATTATGGGGCTCAGCGAAAAAGACAATGCATTTATGATTTCATTAGAGGTTGTGGATATTGTGACCAGCTAAGGGACTGACAGCTTCCGAGAACAATTCTGCCCCCTTGTGTAAAATATTATGGTTCTGGCACACCTATCAGGAAGATAACATTGAACAGCTAAATATAGTTTACGTAAGATATTTTAATTCTTATGAGAGCTGTGTAAAGTTAATTATGTTCGTTTACATTTTAAAACAACCCCTAAATATGAACTGTTACTATAAATAAGGGGAGAGTCAGTAAATAGGTCACAAATGGAGTAAAGCAGCTGTAATTGATGCAGTAGTTTTTCTATGTTTACCACTAGGTAGCAGCACAGTCCAGCTTCATGACAGTCTACGTAGCAGAGCGCATGCACATGTTCAGAGGCCGGTTACAGTAGACAAAATGGCGACAGTGTTTGAGGTGTGTATTACCGAAGAGCAGATTCGTTTTGTGCGTTTCATGTGGGCAAATGGACTCAATGCAAAGATATTCATAAAGAAAAATATTTCTTGTTTACGGTGGGAAGTGTTTGTCTCGTAAAACGGTTCACAGCTGGGTGGAAAATATTTCGCTGATGACGAAGAGGTTGAAACGGAGATGTGGAAGTGACTGAGACAACACTCAAAAGATTTCTGTGATGCGGGTTTCGACGCACTGGTAAAGCGATGGGGCAAGTGTCTCAATGTTGGTTGAGAATATGTCGAGAAATAAATGTTTTCCTGGTTCGAATATCATATGCTTTACGTTTTATATCCAGTTTTGACATTTACTGACACTCCCTCGTACAGTTTCATTTAACGTTAAAATAAAACTCCGCATTTACAGGCTTCGGCGTGTTTTTGTAATTCAGTAACATGCTCGGGAGAAAAATTTCAAGAAGGAGATAGTGCTCTGTAATTAGGACCGAAATCATGAAAAGCTGCGTGTACTGTTCTAGATCTGAGGGGCTTACGAAGGGGACGCTCTGTGACGGGTGAAATGGCGTCGGGTGTTTGGACAGCCTACTTCAAGTAACTCCCCGATTAGAGTAGCAAGTAGGACTAAACGATGCCTCCTTTATTCTGCCATTCATACACATTATAACATGCAGAGTCATGTCCTAAATTTCTCAACAATGGAACGATTGCAGAACCGTGAGCTCTCCTTCTCCGGACTTTGCGGGTAAGCTGTCAGACCTCCTGCTTCGCAGTGCAGGAGGCCTGATTTCATACCTGGGGCACGGGATCAGCTATTCTTGTGAAGAGTACCATATTCTGGGTTGTAATGACATAGCCGTCGAAGAAGGCTCCACATTTCAGAGGAAAATATCGCCTACATTTTCAGGGTTAAAGAACAATGTAAGGAAGAAACCTGAAAGAACACGACAACTTTCTTCTTGCTTTGCTTAACTCTTGGGACCTGAACAAGGAACAGATATGACTCTCCGAAATATCGACATCTTCTCAGGAAATCGAAGGCGCCAGAAAGAAGTTTGAGAACAATTGTGATAACAGGATTTTAATATGGTTCATTTTCCCCATATACTGTTGCCATACGAACCAACGCAGAAAAGCATGCAGTGTATCACTTTTATTGAATTTTCATCTATCCCATGCTTCGCCATCAAAATCACGACTCCAAGAAATGAGACAGTCACCCTAGTGGCAGGCAACACTGTACACAGCTGGTCCACACACACCACAATACCATGGGGTTTATTCTTTTAACAACTGTATTTATTTATTTTGGGAATAAGCTAAAGTAAGTCTCTGTTCCCACTCCTTGCCGTCTGTGTGCAACTTCGTCGATATATTAATGTAATATATTTTAGCCTCTTTGTTATACAACACAAGATGTTTCGGCCTAACTGGCCATCATCAGGTGTGTAAGGTGTTGGATTGAAGGAACCCGCTGCTCTGTTGTCACGCTGTTCTGCCTTTCATTTAAATGTAAAATGCTTCTAAAATATTCTATTTCAGGTTATTTTAGATTATCACACTCTTCTTACTTTCTCTGTATTCACGTGTCTGGTGTATCCGTAAGGTGTAATGGGATAAAGCTTGCTAAGGTAACAGGCTGTGGAGGCCCATAGGGTTGTGAGACGTCGAGGCTCCCACATCTTTTAGATAATGGGCTCAGAGATGATGGTGAAGTTGTCAGCCTTACGCGCCGGCAGGCCGCCCTTTACCACTCCAAGAAAACTCCAGGTATTTATTTTAGTTAGAGAATGAGTCGACCCAAGGGCCATAGTGCGGCTGGAAGGATTAGGTCAATTGAAAAATCCAATGACCTCATCGGAAATCGAATCGGCGTCCTTTTGGCTCGTAGTACAGTGCCCCACGTCACCATGAAGCCTAAGGACAGAGAGAGAGAGAGAGGTAAGTAGTGTGACACACTGCATTTAAGGGGAAGGGGGAGCAGAAAATTTATCCCTTCTCCGAAAGGTCCCAGGCAGTGCCCACCCGTCTTTCTGGTAGAGGTGTCTTGAGGGAAGGTAAAGTGTTAGGAATTGGGTTTTGTTATGAGTAGAGGACAAAATGAGCAGGGGCTTTACAGCATATGATAGGAATTTTTATATTTATATTAAAAGTTCTGCATTAGAGTGAAATTTTGATTTACGATTTGGAGGACTGCATGGGAAGCATGAAATGTGACGTAAAATTTGGGTATCAACTCAGCAATTGGTTTAGGACAAAAGAAAATTAGGGGAGATCTTAATTTACATGGTGGTCGCATTACCTTCAGAACGCAAATCGACTTCTAGCCAGCAGTTCGGCATTTAACATGCAGAGTTTCTAACGTCAGTCCCTATCTGTGACGTTACTACGTTCCGGAAAACTTTACATGACTTTTTCGAATGCATTGTTTTGCAGGATATGAATAATTTTGCATTGATATGCAAAGAATATATATACATGCATATGAACACGTACATACATATTCATATTGATTACCGAAGTCTGATACTAATTTAATAATAAATAACAATTCAGTTCGTACCTCACAGGAGACACATTACATCTCCGCTATACAAAAGACCAACCGGTTAATGCTGTTTGGGGAAACAGTCGCTGTTTACTGTGAGAATCATACACTGTGCGGGCAGATGAGAGAGAGAGAGAGAGAGAAGAAGTGGTGGGCGTAGTGAGAGACACTACATTGTGGGTGGGGGGGAAGAAACTATATCTCCGATTTTGAAGGTTCCCAGGCAGTGCCCGCTTGTCCTTCTGGTAAAGATAGAGCATATGATCGGATTTTTGTTTGTTTGTTTTTGCTAACGTTGGGAGGGCTATATTAAGGCGAAATTTTGTTGTTAACAATGACCGAACACAAATAATATATAAAGATCCAGTTCGTACCTCCCAGGAAACACATTACGTCTCCGCTATACAAAAGACCAACCGGTTAATGCTGCTTAGGGAAGCAGGCGATGTTTCTTGTGAGAACCGTACGGAGCACCAAATAAGCAAACTGCAGGATCGTTTAACTTTAAAGAAGAGGTCACTACCGTAACCGCCGTAACTGTGAAGCTTACAGTACCTAGAGGGAGATGATTTTGACAGTGTTTAACAAACAATACTTGAAGATATAAAGGGGTAAAATAAACATTGGGTTGAAATTTTCAGACCGGGTTTGGCGTACCAGCAACAATGTAGTCTCGCATCCGCGTTCGGAGAGAAGTGCTCTTTTCGAATATCGACGTTATAACATAATCTAGTAATTTTCTATTAAGGACATGAAGATCTACGTGATTATTTGACTATGGCGTAATCTCAGAAATATCTTAGACTAAATATATATGATTTCACTTCCAATTAATAAACAGAGAAAAAGGCTACTTTTCACAAATGGAACATAAGCAGCTACTCCGGAAATCACCTGAACAAACAAATATGTATAATAATTAATAACAAGCTTCGATTTCGTATAATCGATTCTTTTGTGGCACACAAGTAGATGACTTAGTACATCGCTCCGTCATGTTATTCTGCCATTCCTCTTTGAACTCAGTAGCAACCATTTTGCTAATGTATGAACTCTAAAGGAAGGCAACAGAAAGTTGGATCTACCGGTCACGGAGAGGGAGGAAGAGGGAAAACAGAATTACCAATTTCCCAGCGTCCCTCTTCGCATGCCAGCGCTGCGCCAGAAAAGTCAAAGGGAAAAAAGAAATATACTTGTTAAGTCATAAATGGCATACGTACTATATCACACGCTACATTCAAATTTTTATTGAAGCCAAGATGAGGGCGGACACAGGCCGGGAGCACACGTAATTCCGCTGTGGCTTAAACCCCTCAAAGCACAGCAGACACAGTACACGTCACTTGCATTAACGTTTAAAAACCCTTTACTTTTTACGTATATTTCTCAGAATAAACTGCTATATTCCCCATAAATTACGTTTACCAATTTTCTGTAATGGAGATAAATTGTGTTTTCTTTGAGGTAGGAAATGAAGCCGTAAGAAATGCTTATTATTTAGGCAGGCCTAACTTGCTTACTTTATTTCTTTTGCTCATATTATTACCAATGTCATATTCTTCACTTCCCAACGCTTTACCTTCTCTCAGAACTAACTATACGAGGAGGACGAGTGGTCCTACCTCACAGAAAACACACTCAGTCTTCAGCTCAAATTTACTGAATCCATTGCCAACCTCTCTCTCCCTCTCGCAATCTCTAACAGATCCAAAAAATGCAGATGGGATTTCAGTGTTATGTTAGGCGGCACATATATTAACCACTGCAAATTTTGTTGTAAATTCCTTCACGCGGCAGCAGAATTGCATGGTGACATTTCGTACCTGAGCCGGTCGCTGTAGCCGAGCGGTCTAAGGCATGTACTGTCTACGCTCGCTTGGAAACCGGGATCGTGGGTTCGAATCCCACTCAGGGCATGGATGTTTAGTTTGTGTGTGTGCGTTTTTCTGTGCTTGTGTACAGGTAGGGGCCTTGAGGCGAGCTGATCACTCGCCCAAGGAGTCCTACCGAATGTGTAAGATCTCGAAAAACTGAAGTGAACGGAAAAGTTTATGGAGATAGGCCTAGGCCCACTGGGGCTGTAGTGCCAAGGGAAAAAATTCGTACTTGAAGCTTAATGAGACGCTATAAGCAATATGATTCTTCAAATTTCTTCTTCTTCTGCTGCTACCTTGGCTGTCTAGCCTCTCAGACCTGCTCACACTCAGAGTTCATTCTGAGATTATGAATCATGTAGAGAGTAGGTAGGAGTCTTTCAGTGGTGTAGCGGCCTTGTCGCAAGACCGCTACATATACAAGAAAGCACAAAGTATAGAATAAACGCAGACATTCACGCCTCGAATGGAATTCGAACCCACGATCTCTACGTTAGAGCAGGCGAAGACTGTTCATGCCTTAGACTGCGCGGCAACTGTGCTCGACATTTTTCAGATTTCTATTAATGATTTTAAAAATAATCATTATACTTCATGTCAGCAATGCGAATTTTGTATTGCGATTTAAACCTTGCATTTAGGTGCACACCACGCAAATACAGAGTGTCTACAAAAGGTCTGACACTTCAAGGTCTTGAAGTGTGAGGCATTTGACGTTCTTACAGCGCTTACCATGAAGAATAGTGACTCAGTGCAGTCCGGTAGAAGTTTACTGACGTTTCAGAGGAACTCAGTACCTCCATCTTCAAGGCAGAAAAGTAAAACAAGCAGACGAGCAGTAAATACCCTACTTTTTGCTTACCAGATTGAGTTACTTTTCCACCGTGGAGGTGGAGTGGGGGACTTCTGCCAGAGTAACATACTAGAAATATTATTTTCAGTTACGGTATTTCAAATTACATAGAGACCGCTTCCTTCCATCTCCTTTGCAGTTCATCATCCGTCAATCATCTCATTCTCCCACACTGTACAGCCTGAGCTGCAAACAGCCTCGTTAAACAATCTATGTGTAGTGAAGAAATAAATAAAATACTGTGGCGTGTAGACCCGTTGCTAAGCAGTGACTCTGTAAATAGCAGCCGTTACTAATTATCGCCAGCAACATACACGCAAGCAACAACAGAAGAATGGTGTTTTCTATGTGATCCGTACAGCGACTGTTGCTATGCAACGGCGGGGTAACCATGTCTCTACAACAATAGAAGGACTGTGTTTTCTGCGTAGTCCATGCCAAGGAGTTATCGTGAAGAAAACTGTGGCGGAACAAGCAGTTGTCAGTTGTTAGTTGAGAGCTTAGTTCTGCAAGGCAGGCTGTGAAGAGTCAGTTCAGTTGTGGGATATTCGCCGGGCAGTAACGACTTGAACACTGAACGTTCCACTGTTAAGATCCGTTACTAGGAAATGATGAGTGAAAGCAGAATGAGAAGACTTCGCGAGCTCAACTGATTTATAAAGTGTGTAGAACAGAGATAGCGCTGTAATTACTTGTAGTTCCGAGTGGAGTGTATAAGTGGTCAATAAATCCATTCACCAATCCAAACCCCGTATACAGTCACTTGTAAATCGAGGCAATATTGTGTATTTATTTGACCAGGGCCTCGTACACACGAAGAGTACAAGAGACAGTAACTATCGTCCTTCCTGTAAGCGAGATTTCAGCTTCAAATCTTGGACTGCAGCTGGCCAACATAAAAAAAATTTCATACAACCTGTACATTTTTTAGGTACACCTTGCAGGAAGCATTATGTTTCGAGAGATGGTAGTTAGTAAAAAAAAGTAAAGTTATCCCTGTGCTTAACTAACTAAGCACTACGACATTAAGGAGTATTGGAGAGTGGAGGTGTAGATGCACGCATTCTTGACCTCTGTATATTTGGAAGCGGCTGCTTTGTCCCCCGGGGAAAGAACCTGAGTTATCCATTGGTTAGGAGGTTGAGTGGACCCCAGAACCGGTCTGTACGACATGCAGAGGACAAAAATATAGCCCTTAACGGCATTCGAACTCCTATCTCTCCTCCATCCAGACTGTAGTCAGTCGCTAGACCAATTGTGCTATTCCGGTTCCAACATGGTGGGGGGTGGGGGATCAGCAAATACACTCTTGGGAAGGATGAATTGGTTGATTGTTTCAGATATTATCCCAGCATTCGCTTAAATTGACTGAAGAGTCAGTAACTCTCGACATACCAGTGCATACGTCGGCAATATAAACATATGGGCCGGCTACTATACTAACCTGCTGTGTGTAATTATGTGGGACACAGATCTGTGGGGAGGTACGAAGGGTCATACCAGAGCTCAGGCCTTCAGACGCATACTTGTACGAGGGAGAACCAAGTTCAGCTCTATGGTAGTCCGTGTGAGATCCGCAGTTTCCTGTGCCACTAAGGCTTCGTGGCCTGGTACAACAGGTCTGCTTGAGTTTTAAATGCCA